TCAAGCATCAATGCTTTTATATAACAGGATAAGCGCTGCCAACAAGAACATGGCCATCATAATCGGAAGGGTGGGTCTGAACTTGGAACTGTTGACCGTTCATCTGCGTGGGACACTTGGAGTCGGGTCGGGCCAGGAAGCACACGGTGAACATTGCCATGTCCAGCTCGGGTGAGGTGCCGACCATCATTGACCCGGTGTTTTTGGGTTCGCCCAGCCATTCAAAGTGGTCATTGATGATTTCTCCCTGGAATGAGTTCGCGTTTTGAAGATTGTTCATTAATCCGGGAACGACTTCCTGTATCTTGAAGATTTTAATATATTTGAGCACTTATTCGAGGTCACCGAGAGCTTTTATTTCAGGTTTGTATTTCAAGCATCTAGTACCTAGTGACGCAGCATAATTTCCCCCGTCTGTCACACGGACTGACTACCTTGCCCCTTGCCTCACCTTATCTCCGAGGTCGACCTTCTTCGACCAACCCATGTAGTTGAGGTTTCCGTCAAGTTCCTCCTGGTAGAAGCTGACCCAGTTGTGGAAGCCCGACACGACCCCGTTCTTCAGTTCCCCGACGAACACGTGCTCGAAGCCAGAGGAGCCCAGGATGCTCCCCGACCTTGTGTACATCATGAACCAGATCTCCTTCAGCTTGTCTCGCAGGCTCCCACTCAGTAGATCTGGGTCGAAAGAGGGCGTGAGTCAACTCTTTCCCTTCTCTCCAGATATTTTGGGTCGAGATAAAATGCCACGATATTTTTTTTTTCCAAAATGTGAAAAATATGATATGTCACTGGCATTAGGTATATATATATATATATATATATATATATATATATATATATATATATATTTAGATACATATACATATATACTACAAATATGTATTTGTAATAATTTTGCTCTTGCCTGCTATCTCTCCTAAAAGATATTTGAATGAAATACGTTCAGTATAACAAATTTAGAAAAGGTATGAATGAGAACGAATACCCTCCCAGTACCAGAAATGTATATGGCGTTTCGATTATATCTTCTTTAGAAATACATATAATGCTGTGAAAATATTTTCCTCTTCATACATTTTCAAGATATTCGAACCTAAATTTGAATCCTCGAGGTGCCAAAATCAACTGGTGCCATCATTCTACACAGTCAAAGAATTAAAGCTTTCCAGAAATAAAGTCGCGTTTTCCCCAAACGTCTCTCCAGTTAGCAGTGCGACTTTACTGACTTTTCTCCGTAAGGAAGGTTTCGGCGCGCTGCATGACCTGAGTGGCCATGACGGCGTCGAGGAAGGCCTCCTGCTCCGCGACCTCCGCCGCGTCCTCGTCCTCGGCGAAGGACACGGAGGGGATGTAGTTGTCCTGCAGCTGGCGGAGGAGGCTGATGGTGGGGCCTGTCAGCGCGGACTCAGGCACCGAGACGAAGAGACTGATGGGGATTATATAAATGTAATTGTCAATACCTTCTTAGCGCCATTTCTTCTTGTCATTTGTCTTACGTAAGGCAGAATAAAATCTGCAAAAAATTACCTCATAATCGGGAAAGTTGCATGAATAGATGGCAAGATAACATCGTTACTTATTCAAATTCGGATAGGCGATGAATTCGGATGGACAAGTAGACGGTAAAGTAACTAAATGCCATAATCAATTTCGTTTTAATCATCTGCTGATATGCAATAACTGGACGAAAACGGCTTTGGTGTTCCTTATATTATCTGCACTATAACCTAATAGCAGCATAACTGATGTAATGATAGAAGCCGGTACTTTCAGATGTCGACAGTCTTCTATGTTTCCAGTCGAACCCACCGCGTCTCGGCCTGCTCTGTGGAAGGCCGAGTTGATGACCAGGCTAGAAAAGTTGGACAGGGTTGCGAACAACTTTTCCGACGAGATCCTTCTTTCGAGTTCAGCACGAGAACCACTTCCGGAAGCACCGATGTGCAGGAATGGCGTCCGCATAGCCAGTGGTACCGCCGGTTGGCAGGAAACTCACCTCTCAGGGGCGAGGTCTCCTGAAGATCCCTGTCCCTGGTGGTCGAGGACGAGCTGGTTGCCGACGCTGTTTACATCCAGGGAGTAGAGCTCCTCCATCAAGTTCCTCAGGTCAGTGTCCGTCACTCCTCCGCCGGTTCCTCCTGCGCGACAGGGAAGACCAGTTAGTATTTGCGTTTATGGCTATATGCAATGTGTTCTTCAGAAATATTGATTCTTTTAGACTCGGAAGCAAGCGCAGAGACCCCAGTCCCTCACCTCCGCACTCCACATCGTAGTCAGAACAGCAGTTTCCGTGGGAGCCGCACTCGTTGTTGCACTGACACGGCTTGGAGTACACGTACCCTTCCCCGCACCGGTCCTTGCAAGAGAAACAGACTGCCTCGTAGTCGCTGCAACAGTCGCCGTAGTTGCTGCAGACGGAGTTGCACTGGCAGCCCGACACCCCGTCATTCACTCCGCATCGACCAACGCAGGATTGGCCGAGCGTGCCTTTCGATGGAGACACGAGGGAGAAAGATGAGAGGCGAGTGGGATGAAGCATGACCTAGAGATCCTAGGTAAAGCTATGGGAGATAAAAAGCAGGTGTAGAGTTTCTATTAAGGGAAAGATAAGGGAAATAAGAGTAGGATAATGGCAAGAACTAGAGCTCCTGTTAAAAAAAGATAGAAGAGACAAGAGACAAGTGGGATGGAGGCAAGGCCTAGAGCTCCAATCAAGGGAAAGATAAGATAGATAAAAGATGGGATGACAGTAAGAACTAGCCTAGAGCTGCTGTTTAGGGAGAGATAAGGGACATACGAGACAGCCTAGAACTCATGCTAAGAGAGAAAAAGGAGATAAGAAGCAGTTAGGGCGATGGAATTATTCTTAGAGCTCCTTGTTAAGAGAAAGGGAGATAAGACCCAGCTGGGGTGACAGAAAGAATTAGCCGATCGCTCTTATCAAGAAGAAGATAGCTTAGATAAGGGACAGCAAGGATGATGGCCAGAAGGCGTGTGTTAGGAGAGATAAGTGAATGATAAAGGAATATAATCAAAACTTAAATTCACAGTAACATGATAGACGGTTAGAGATGGGGTAATGGAGGTCCATGTTGATAATTAGTCCTTGTAATAGCACTGTCTTTTTCATTATGGATTTCTCCCTCTTATTCTTTCCAATCTCCAGTGTTACACTGAGATGGCCATACACACAGAAGGTGAATAAGTAGGTTATCGCAATGAGCATCTGTACTAATCTCCAATATTCACTCTATTATTTCTAAGAACTTTTTGTGGAATCATCTCCAAACTACGCTAGGACCGGCTGCGAAAGATTACACTAACCTTTGTGGACGTTGGCTTTCCCCCTTGTGCTGTTAGCAGTCATTAGAGCGTTCTGTTATTTCCACAGAAACATTGGCATGAACATACGCTCCAATCAGGAATAACTGTTCCTTGGGGTTCTGTGTGCTATATACTCCCCACTACGCATTTGCATACTGGGACTGCGGTGCGATGAACTGCAAATATGTTCATGAAAATGTATGCGAAGGTATTTAATAGGATGAACAGTGTGATTCCTCTTCGTTGCACAGAAGCGCTGTGGCATAATCAGAGCGAGTGAGTTCGTTTTTCTCCTCTCAGATGATCGAATAATTAATTAGACTGATTGACGTGTTTGGGAAAGGAGTCGGACTTCAAGAACGAACAAGGGATTTTCAGAATATATGGAATTCTGAACCAACTGGTACAGTATTGAATACGCAGTGCCCATGTTGCGAACGCGTTAAGATTGAGGTCGTTTACTTTCTGAAGTATAATATATGAGATCGCATGGCAGCGAAATGCAATCAAGTCCTACCAATGCTGGAACATTAGCAAGGACGCAGGAATGAACCCTCTCATTCCCGAGGCCTGACATGACCTTCCTTCAAAAGCACAGAAGAACCAACGATGCCACGAACGGGTCAACTCCTATCGTTCTCTCCACAAGCACCTTCAAGCATAGCCTCTTGGTACCGTCGCAGGGTACTAAGGGTCATCTCTGATTGTCCAAAAAAGTAGAGAAAAACTATATGAGATCTTTCCCCTACAGCAAGCCATTCGAATCGCGTTTATCACGAGCCGAGGTGAGCCAAAGGCAGAGATAACATGGAAAAAGTCGAAAAAGTCGAATTAAATGCTGTTTCTGTTTTCCTTTTAGTGAAACCAATGTCTTTTCTTGCTTTCTGTTGTATGTTCTTAAGCGAAAAGGGCACTCTACCGGCGATGAAGAGCAGAAGGAGGGCTGGGACCTTCATGGCGGCAGCAGGAGAAGCTCCGTCTTGGAGGTTGGGAGTGACACCTTGCTATTTATACCTGCGCACTCGTCTGCTCTTATCTCGTGTTTGCGTATGTATGTGTGTGTATGTGTGCGCGTGTGTGTGTGTGCGTGTGTGTGTATGCTTATGTGTATGTGTGTATGTGCCTGTGTGTACTGATCTTGCCTCGTTAACTTTTACTGTTTGATTAATTTTTGGGATATTTTCGTGCAGCCAGTTTCATGCGCAGATTCCATGCACTTGATTGTGCTAAGTGTTTGTCAATTCCTGCAGCGTGTTCTTGCTCCAACACTTTATTGGTCATCACTTCACAGCAGATCTCTTAAAATGATTGTTAAGACACTCTACTTACCAGTCTTTAGAGTTGTAAACCGAAGGAGAAGGAAAGAAAATGAAAATAAGGTAAATGCAAAAAGTCCCACGGCATGCACAGGTCATCGCTTCCCACGATGACCTGTGACATAATAGTAAGGGGGGTGGGGATGAGAGAGGGGGGGAGGAAGTGGCCATTTGAGAGGGGAAGACAAAGGTCAGGGGGTGGGGGAGGTTATAGATGTGAATATGAATGTTTGTGCACGTGGAAAGGGTGACGAGAACGAGAGCGAAGAGAGAGAGAGAGAGAGAGAGAGAGAGAGAGAGAATGAGGCAGAGAGGGGAGCGGGGAGAAAGGAAGGGAGGGAGGAGAGAGAGAGAGAG